ACCGACACACGCACACACAAAAAAGACCTGTCCCCTCCCACAAAAGTAGTCCTTTCCCACAACCCTTGTAAAACTGCTCATTCTCATCACTGCCTTTCTCACCCTGCATCAAGGTATAGTCCACAGACAGACTCTTTCCGCCTTTCCTTATCCTAGGCTGGCCTCTTGATGTTGTAAAATTTTTACCAAACACCCCTTGGATGACTCGAGTTTTATGCTATATGGGCATGTCTCTGATGTGGCGTCGGTGGCCTAGTGGTTAGACTACCGGACTGGTAATCTAGAGGTTGCGGGGTCAGGGGTTCAAGCCGCGGGCCCGGCGTTGTGTCCTTGGGAAAGGCACTTTACACAAAGTTTACTCACTTCATCCTGGTGGAAATGGGTACCCGGCCACAGACAGCAAAAGATCTTGTCAGTATGTTAGTGTTTTAGCGCCTATAAATTGCTGCTTGCACTGTGTGCTTCCCAGGAAGTTGAGCTTGTTTCAGAATGCTCTCAGGTCAGCTCAGGTAATAGAATAGATTGTGAAGTGCATAGAGCTTGCTGTTGAGCGGGGATTTGCGCTATACAAATGCTATCTATTATTATCTATTTATTTCCTTCCCATGCGTTGGAAAAGGCAGGGCGTTGAAGGGTGCCACTGTCTGCTGAGGGGGGACACAAACAATAAATGACTCGCACCAATACCTGACAGATATATAATTTCCTCATTCTGTCCATACTTTCTGCGTGGGTTGTTGGTGGGTACTTTGGTGAGGTTTTGCTCATTCTTTCCAATCAAACATCTATTGTTGTTTTCTCTCCTTCTATTTTTATACGTGTTACTCTAGTTAACACCTCTAATCTTTGGCTTTTATACAGCCAAATTGTGTTGCAAGTACCGCGAAACCCTTCTTACAACAATTCTTTGGCGCTTACATGGCCTAATTATATCGCAAATGCCTTAAAATTCTTTACTAAAACAGAAACAAACGTCTCTCTACAGGTCCACCTCGAGTCTTGGAATCGGCAGCCTCCAGCTCTATATCCCCCCAAACCCCCGAGGACCGGCTGCGGGACGCCGAGTGGTACTGGGGGGACATCTCTCGCGAGGAGGTCAATGAGAAGCTCAAGGACCAGCCCGACGGGACCTTCCTGGTGCGGGACGCCTCAACGCCTGGAGACTACACGCTCACGCTCAGGTCAGCTCATGGCTCTGTACTTTGTATGTGTGTCTCTGACTCTGTCTCTGTATCTCTCTCTGTCTCTCTCTCTCTGTCTCTCTCTCTCTCTCTTTCTCTCTCTCTTTTTCTCTCTCTCTTTCTCTCTCTCTTTCTCTCTTCCAGGAGTCTCCTCTCCGGGCGACTACACGCTCAGGTCAGCCGATGACTCCATACTTTAAGTGTGTGTGTGTGTGTGTCTCTCTGTCTCTGTCTGTCTGTCTGTCTGTCTCTCTCTGTCTCTCTCTCTCTCTCTCTCTCTCTCTCTCTCTCTCTCTCTCTCTCTCTCTCCCTCTCTCTCTCTCTCTCTCTCTCTCTGAAGCAAAAAATTAAATCTTGTATTTCAGGTATTTATCTCAATGTTTAAAATTGTCTAAATCCGTTACTCTTTTAAGGAAAGGAATGAGACTGGCCAATTGATACGCTTCACCACACCCTAAATTAACAACATACTTGAATTTATTTAATTTCAACATTTTAACATCAATACAATCATAAATGACAGCAGTGATTAGTATCCTAAGGTTATGGTATGTAAATCAAAAGTTTTTACAACACCTCCTCCTCTTTCTCCTCCCCCCCCCCCCCCCCCCTCACCTCTCACAGGAAGGGTGGTAGCAACAAGCTGATCAAGATCTTCCACCAGAACGGCCACTACGGCTTTGTGGACCCTTTGGAGTTCACCTCAGTGGTCAGCTTGATCAACTGGTACCAGAGCAACTCTCTGGCCATGTACAACAGCACGCTGGACACGAGGCTGGTGCACCCCGTCAGCCGGAACATGGGACTGGTCAGTAGCTCGTGTTTTTTCTCTTCGTAGAATTAGACCAAGAAAAAAAAGGACCATTAATTTTTTTTAACACTTTGCTGTCACTTGGCGCAAAAATGCGACGTGAAAATTATCCGTTTCGGTCACCTGGCGCAGAAACAGGCCCGAGAAGTCCGTTGTAGTCACTCTCCTGGCAGAGTGACCAGACGGGGGGTATTTTGTATTGCTGGCTAGGTGACTGCAAAGTGTTAATTGAATGTCTGTCAGTTTTGCGTTTTGCTTCTTTTTTTTTTTTTTGTAGCAGGTAGTGACATTTATTGCATCAATTTTCTTCTTTCATAAAGGGCTCAAAACCAATTAAAATACTTGTTTGTCATTCAAATTATATACCCTTTTTGGTGGGGGGGGATTTTTTAATCATATACGCACGTGAATGGCTGGATGGTGCTGGTATAGTATGTCCTTCATCTTTTCTCTCCCACTTTGTAATTTCTTTCTGCCTTGTTTAGCTTTTTCCCTGCATTTAATGACAGTTATTCAGTCCATGTGCTTCTTTTAGACTAAAACAGCTCTTAGCCATGAATGGCTGGTACCTCTAGAAATAAATTGTTAATGGTGCAGATGCTTCTCTTTACTCCTTCAAACATAATTTCATTGGCTTATGGGGGGGGTGGGGGGGTTGGTTGGCAGGTGTTTTAGTGTGGTTTGCTCTTTCTTTCCTATCATACATCTATTGACCTCATCTTTCCTCCTTCTTTGGTGTGGTTTGCTTCTTTCCTATCAAACATCTATCATCCTTATCTCCCCTCCTTCTTTTTTGTTTGTTACTCTCTTGTAACACCTCTAATCTTCTGGCACTCATATGACCTTATGCAGCTGCGAGAGCCGTAAATCTCTACTAAAACTAAAACTTTCCTGCTTCTTTTCTTTGTATGTTACTCTCTTGTAGTAATATCTCTAAATTTCGGTACTAACATACGGCCTATTTGTGTTGCAAGTGTCGTAAAATTTGTAAATAAACTTACAACCGTTGTGTATTTCTTCTCTCCGTGTGTCCCCCACAGGAGAACCCAGAGAACCACCAAGACATTGCCAAGGAGGTGGAGACCCTGGTGCGCATCAACCGCCAGTACCTGGAGAAACGGTCGGCGTACGATGACCTGTATGAGCGTCACTCCCGCCTCTCTCAGGTACACTGCTGAACAGAAAGCCTCGCAGGCCTGCCTGCCTGCCTGCCTGTTGTATGTTTGCCACTCTTTTGCCACTTTTTCCACAGAATTCTCCCTCTTCTTCTTCATGTTTGCTGCACACGACACACACAATTTTCAGAGCGGGGGGGGGGGGTTCAGCAAAATTCATCTTTTGTCTTCAGTCCTCCTTTGACTGTATTTTCTGCATTTTTGTCTGTCGCTTGTTGTTCCCGAAGGGTGGATATTGACATGTTCTTATGCACGGTAGAATTGTAAATGGGCTGATTTATCAATGTCACGCTCATACTCTGCTGGAACATCATAGGGGGAACTGCTGCTTTTTCTTTCCTCATCCATACTATCGTCATTTTTCCTCTACTTTTGTTGAATGTTTGTCACTGTCTTGTGAACTGCTATTTCCGGGGTGCCTTGATGGTCAAAGCAGACTTTGTTCTGTTAAGGCTAGAGAGGTTAGCAGAGTAAGCCCGATTCCCCATTTGGACTTCTCTCTTGACATCCACCCCTTGCCGCTCATATGACCTTATGCAGTTGCGAGCGCCATAAAACCTCACTAAAAGAAAACAAGTAGCGTGTTAATCTACATGTCCAATGTGTTGTTTGTGTGTACAGGAGATGCAGCTGAAACACCAGGCCCTGGACGCCTTCAAGGAGACGCTCATTGTCTTCCAGGAGCAGATGGACCTGGCACGGAGGTCCTTGCTGGAGACAGCCGGACACGACAGTCAAAAGTAGGTCAAGTCCTTGTAGTGTCACAGAAGAATTTGCCTGCAAGCCATTCGCTACTTCAGAATGACAAAGTTCTATTATTGCTCAGTACCTAGTTTTGAGAAATTTGTTAGTTTCTCAATATGTCAAGCTTTTCCGAATGCAGTTCTTTGAATATCTTGATAACGATTCCAACTAATCATAGAATTATGATAAAGCATCTGATTTCTGATATCATGGTAGGAAGTGCTTTGTCTAGGAGAAAAGTGCTCCTCAAGTGGTCATTTTGGACAGTCATAGAGAGAGAAAAAAACAACACAAGGGACAAAGTGGGAAATGGTTGTTTGTACCAGTGATTAGACTGTGGTTGGACTGTATTAGTATAAGGGGGGGAAAAGTAGTACCACAGATTTGCAAATTGTCATTATGAAAATTGCCATTTCCGCATGTTGGATTTTTTCAATGCAATTATTTAAGTGTGCTTCTTTGTTGCTACTGTCACAGGTTGCAAGAGAATATGGAGCTTCTGAAATCTCGATTTATGAGGATACAGGAAAGCAAAGGTGCCCTGGAGGTAAGTTTCAGGTTTAATTAAATTATAAGTTTTCTTCTGCGGAATTGGATTAAATATGTACCAAACTTTTGTCTTTAACTTTGTCTGGGGCTCTGTTCTCAGTCCACATTTTCATGCCCCTAAAAGCTGGCTGATAAGAACAACCTTTAGAAGATAAATGCAGTCTCTGGGATACTTGAAGAGACATAAATGTCTTGAACATCTTGCTCTCACTGGTAGAATTGAAGGCAAACAAGGCAATGGTAGTCCCAGAGCAACATTCTTGGGAAGCCTTAACAGGTGGGTGATGGGAAAAGATCAGGATAATATGACTTTTTCTTTTCTTTTAGAGCACCTGGGCAAAGGAATGAATGGAGAACCATGATGTCTGCACTTGATGATGAAAACTTTTAATCATTGATCCAATGTAAAATTAGCTTGACAAAGTTCACACCTATTTAGGCTAGGTCAGAAAGCTTTTTGCAGGTGTTCTGAATTCCTCTTATAAGCCATAGTTTCATCATATCTGTTGTACTGAAAACAGCTGAGCACTGAAGATTTCCCTCCCTTTTATCTGCGACAATTGCCATAGGTTGAGTTGGATCGCCGGTCGTCGTGGAATCGCACGCTAATCGGTGACATGAACTCCATGAAGCCAGAGATCAAACGGTTGAACAAACAGCGAGAGCAGTGGAAGACCTGGCTGCTGGATAGGGGGAAGACTCAGGACTTCTTGGACAACTTGTTGGAGGGACGCCGCGACAGGTGATGACTTACTGTTGTTTTAACTCTATTCTAGGGACAGGTGATCACTTACTGTTGTTTTGACTTTATTCTTGGGACAGGTGATCATTTACTGTTGTTTTAACTCTATTCTAGGGACAGGTGATCACTTACTGTTGTTTTGACTCTATTCTTGGGACAGGTGATCACTTACTGTTGTTTTAAGTCTATTCTAGGGACAGGTGATCTCTTACTATTCTTTTGACTCTATTCTTGGGACAGGTGATCACTTACTGTTGTTTTAACTCTATTCTAGGGACAGGTGATCCCTTACTGTTGTTTTGACTTTATTCTTGGGACAGATGACGAAGTGGGTGGTGGGTGGGTGCTCTTGTGTGGTTTGCCTCCTTCTTTCCTATCAAACATCTTTCGTCCTTATCTCCCCTTCCTTCTTTTTTTATGTTTGTTACTCCCTTGTAACACTTCTAATCTTCTGGCGTTCATATATGACCTTATGCAATTGAGAGTGCCGTAAAACCTCTACTAAAACTAAAACATACTCCAAATCTTATAGAAATTGCACAATTTTTATTTGAGAGTTACCAGCTCATTCAGTGAAGCTCTGTTGTAACTTGTGCTCGTCTTTCATCCTTGGCAGTCAAATGGAGGGCGCGTCTGGCGACTCTGAGCACAACGTGCCGCACTACGACGAGGCCCTCTGGCTCATCAGTTGTCAGCGCACACAGGCAGAGTCCCTGCTGGCCGGCAAACCCGACGGGACCTTCCTGATCCGGCCGAAGGCTGAGGAGGGCAACGTCCACGTTCTGTCCATTGTGTGAGTGTGTTGTTAGAAAAGCCAACCCCTTCCGGTCAATTTTTTGGTTCCATTTCTCTTCTCTGGAAATTGTGGGTAGGTTGAGGGCATCTCTGGAATGTGTACCTTTGTCTTGTGGACCACTGAAGAGTTGAGCTGTTAGGAAAAGCTTGCAATACTTGAATATGACGTAGCTTTCTGTTGTCTGATTTGTCCAAGAATTATTGGCCCATTATGTTATTGTGTGCCCTGTCATCTGAGATCTTTCAGTCCGCAAGAGATTCTCACAAATTAAAAATTTTACGCACCCATTTTGAGGCAGCGAGAGGTGTTTGTTACCTTAAAATTGCTATAATTCAGTCAGATATTAATGGATTTTGTTATGTGATCACAGAAACTATTTGTAACTTGACAGAGAATAACAGTATAGGTGAAAATAGGTGGTAAATGTAGCACAGAACAGGGTGTAGATCTTGGGGTTGATGAAATCGGCACCCAAAAAACGCCACTGAAGTGAAGATTCTATAGAACACAAAACCAAAAACTTGGATCCGGAATCAAAGAGTTCAACGGAACTAAATGAAAAGTACATCATCATTAGGTTAGCCTGTTATTTATTTTTCTCTTGTGAATATCTCCCTTTGTAAATGTTTTGGTACAATGCCATGCATTTATGTATATGTTTAGTATTTAAAAAACAGATGAGTGTACCCCGTGTGGTTTATTCCAGAGTCAGTAAAGTATTTCTTTTTCCTTTCCCCAGATGTCGAGGCACTCCGTACCACTGCCGTATCCTTCACAGTGACACGGGCTACGGCTTTGCGGAACCCTACAACATTTTCCCCACCCTCAAGGAGCTGGTCCTTCACTATCACTTCACATCGTTGGCAGAGCACAACAATGACCTTGACATTTGCCTTCTGCACCCCGTGCATGCTCCCATCACGGCGAGAGCCAACGACACATACCTCCGCATGCAGCAGTTGTAGCATCGGTCAATCGGGCCTTGATTCCCGATGGTTTCGTTCATTGCCACCCAACATAGACTGAGCAGTGGATAGCCTCAAGCTTCCTCCCCGGAGTCGCCCAGATTCCCGTGTGTTTGGGACTTGGTTTGCATGCTGTTGATACATACAGTCATGCTGGTTGGCTGGCCGAGTGAGTTCCCTGCTGGAGGTACGTGTTTCCCGGTGGACCCCCTGCATGGAGCCAAGTCTCAAGATCACAACCTTTGACCTCTCAGTCAATCAGGAAAACTGTGAAAAGCTTTATATAGTTGTGTGTGTATGTGTTTATTCAGACGTGCAGAGAAAATCGACCAGCCTTTGTTTTTTGGATCCTCTCCCTCCCCCTCCTCTCTTTGCTGTCTTTGTGGTGTGGGGTTTGTACAACACACAGCATACTGTCGGCAGTTGGCACCAGAGGCTGGATCTGACCCTCGTGTCTGGAATCTGCTGAGCTGGGAGGTTTGGATCCACCTTCACCCCTGTACACACCTGTACACACCCCAAATGTGTATGTGATACACTCTCATGTGTATGTGATACACTCTAATGGCCAGGGTATGGCCACCCAGCGATTTGAGTTTGAGAAATATCTTCGCTCTTTCCCCTACCTTGTACCCTGCCTGATGTGGCAGCCTGGTTTCATTTTTTCAGCTACCTTGCTGCTTCAATCTGCAATGCAGAAACAACGGTAGAAGCTCATCAGCCTTTCTCACTCAAAAGCAACAGGATCAGCCTGCTCTCTGGGAACGACCTGTGAAGAGTAGAGAGAGAAGTCATCGTTGGGACACAGCATGGTTGATTTTATTGCATAGGTCTTCAGAGTAGAACCTGTGCAAGGGCACACTGCGCCGGGAATGTTACATAGGAATTTCCCTGAAGCCTCACAGCTGAGAACCATGTTTTGCAGACTTTCTGTCCATTCTCAGTGTGAGTCCCATGCCAATCTCATCCGCCTCAACACAACACAACCCATCCCAACCCAATCCACAACCACCCACCACTCAGCTGACGTCTTTCAGCTCATAACCTATTGCTGACTTGTGACCAGTACAACATTGTAACTCGGACTTACGCTTACTGACATTTGATCTGGAAATACCTGGGTTTTTTAAATAAAATTGTTATTGCACACAAGGCGCGGCAAAAATGTTTTTTGTCGTGTGTATCGTCACTTGCAAGAGATTTCGGGATATACGACGACTGCTGGTTGACCAAGCTTCTTGTCAAGCCGAACATTCCAGCTCATGACTTCCTTCTACCCCTGACGTGTGTTTCTTTCTTCCCCGGCCCCTCCTCCAGTGTTCTCTGTACCTTGTGATCGTCTCTCTTCCTCAACTCGACATGTGTTGAAGGGAATCTCGTTGATACTTTAAGGTTCCTTCTACTGCATTATTTTTCTTGTTTTTATATATAGATATGTGTGTTCATGTGTGTATAGATGTATTTTAGGTATATATATACACACAAACATACACACGCGGATGACATTATCAATAGGGCATTTATTTGTGATCCTTCCTCCAAGGAGCAACTGGCTGATGATTTTCTGACACCTCCCATGTTTGTCAGAATGCTACAAGTTGCATCATTGTCTTCAAATTTTGTTACATTTCTGTCTCACCTCTACGGGAAGTGAGTGATAGGGTTGGAACTGAGGCGAGACAAACGTCTGAATGTCTTCTTGCTTCTTCTTCTTCATGTGGATGCTTGAAAGTAGTCATAGTCCTGCTGGGGACACGTTTGGGCAGGAGTTTGTCAGTTTGTTGCAAAGGATTCTTGCGCCTGCCTCTATAAATGAAAGTAACAATCTCAGGGAGAAGAATGACACCGGTTTTTGACGTTTTTCACTGGGATTAAGCGAGACAGGTGCGTGGAGAGGAGAATGCCTGTCTTGGAAAAGTGTTGTTTCTCGTTTTCACACAAAGTGTAGCATATTTTTGTACTATTTTGCCTTTCTCCATTGTCATGTTAAGAAAATCAATAACCCTTTCTCTGCCTCAAGTGCCCATGGTTTGGCTTGGAAAATTGTTTTCAGTCACTGGCAGGAGCACTATGTTGGGAGGGGGTGTGCTCAGTTGTTGCCATCTTTTTTTTCAAAGAAACTTATCGCGAAATACCAGGTTTTGCTAGTGTATTCTTAAATGTAAGTGTTATTCCATGGGAAGGGGTTACTGTGGTATGCATTTTCTACTCGTCTTTCGCTGAGTGAAAGATGTTGCAGGTAGGGTAGGGGATAGATCCGGAAGTATCAATGCTTGTCCAATTAGATTTGAACTTTTAGGACGTTCTGTTTTTAGATTGGGTTGAACTACTATTTGCTGCAGAAAATGTTTTTACTCCGAAGTTTTTGGGGGTTACTGTCAGTCAAGTCATCTCCTGTTACAATCTCAAATATAATCTTGTGTAAACTGTTGTCTTCTTGAGAAGCAAGTGTATCAGTCACAATATGTCTTTACATTATGTTGCTACCAATCCAACGACTTCTGGGCTTTCTGTTTGTCTCCTTCGCCCGAAATATATGACCTCATCATAACATTTGTCAGGTGGGCGTTGGATGACTGCAAGTGTCTGTGTGAATGGTTCATAGAGATATGATGGCTCTACCAGGCCTACAAGCGTGTCTATCATCTGATAAAGTGTGATGAGTCTGTGTTGGCTGAATGTGAAATTTTGTGTTTTGTCTGTGGATTGGGATGGGTGTCTATTACTTGTACACGTAATGTGTTCCTGTTGTTGAATTGTACCTGTGATGAACCCCGGTCTGAGGACAAAGAGATTTGAACCTGTACTGTACTGTACCATACCAACTTATTGCACTTCAGTGGGCTTTCGATCAACTTTCTTGTTGGAGTAAAGAAAGTCTTGGAATATTCTGTCAGTTGTGGGATCAGCCACTACGCACTGCATGCCCCTGTGCAATTCAGATAATAAATATATATGGCTGAGTTGGATGTTGACAAGTCATATGTCATCAGTTTTTTTTTCATACTGCAAGCGAAGGTTTTCTGCTATTTGTACGTTCTGGTTGTGTATAAGTGTTTGAGCTTGGTTTCCCCATTTCCCTGTTTCATTCCCGTAAGGTCGTGGTGTGTGGTCGTGTGTATATCCCATGGATTTTTTCATCAGTTAACTGAGAAATGTGCAAGTTGCTGTCTGTTTGTGTCACATATAACACTTCTCCTGGGGTCAGCATCTGTGCCGTTAAGTGTAGTATAAAAGGTGTACTAGAGCGCACATTGACCGGGGGCTCTCGTGGCCTAGAGGTTAAGGTGTTGGCCTCTCATTCAAAGGTCCCGGGTTCGATTCCGGGTAGCGACCAAAAAAATTTTCTTCTCTAAAATTGTCTCCTTTCACATCCTTTCCTGATCTCTAACAATGTTCTGTTGTCTGCTTTCATTTCCCCTCCTCTGGGCTTCTGACTCTTTCTGCAGCCTTTCTACTGCTACTCCTTGGCTCCTCCTAACTGCTGTCTTTCTGCCACACCCCTGATCTTCTGGTAGGAAAGATCTACAACTAGCCTTCTCGGACAAGGGCGAAAAATCTCGGAGGGCCCGTGTGCAAGTTGCGCACGTTAAAGATCCCTTGGTGGTCTAAAATCGATAAGAGTAGGCTTCGGCCGCCACCCGGGCAAAATTCAAAATTTCCTACCAACGAAAAAGTATTAGGTGTGTCCCGCGCGCTCATATGACCTTATGCAGGTGCGAGCGCCGTAAAACCCTATACTAAACAAACAAACAGCACATTGACCACGGGTATAAGTTGCCAGCTTGCTTTGCATTTTCAAATGTCATGAACATAATTTGGGGAGGGAAAGTCTTGTGGCTTCACCCATGGGTAGGAAGTGCATGTACTTGAAGAACTGCATCAAAGAAGAAATGGGCTTCATGTTTCGACCAGTCAGGAGAAATGTTATAAAGTGTGCGCGATTTGTGTGTCGTTCTGTTGTTTTTCATAACATAATAATGTGCCTTGTCCCGGAGGCAAAGCTGGGGTTGGCCGATACAGTACTGAGTCAAATGGCATCCTTGTACATTGTTCAACATCAAAACTGCTGTCGCATCCAGAGACATAATTATTTTTTCTTCCCTTTCCCTAGAATATCTTCCTTGCTTTTATAGTATAATAATCATTGTACTCCTCCTCTCCCCATCTTGTCAGTGTATTACAACTCTCCTCCCGTGGCACTGCCATAGTCTTCAAATCTTCGGAGTGAGACTGATTGTCTTGTGTGAATGTTCTCATTAATGACCAAAGTTGGAGTAGAAAAAATTACAAAAGGAGTTTATATATATGAAGGGATTGCGTGAAAGAAAAAACTGCTGTGTGAAGTGAGCAGGGATAGCTTTGACTTCTTTATGGTAACTGCTGGTCTCGAGACCAAGTCTGACCGAGGTTTGGCATTTTGAGTCTGCTAAATGTATATGTTTTTTATGTTTTGCAGTTGTGGATAGTCATTTTGGTCGAGGAACCAAGCCCATTGCTGATTTACGCTTTTTAAAATGTTTTTTTATAGTTTGGCTACTGTTTTGTTCCATTCTTCATGATCCGTGACTTATCCTCATTCAACTCATCGCATGAAAATTTTCTTACTTGCATGTAGCCCTCCCCAGGCTTCAGTGGTGATACAAAGACTGAAAATGAATGGCAGATTTTTTATTTGTAAAAACCCCACTGCATCACTTCCTCCATCTGTGCTGTGATGTCAACAAAGTTGGTTCCTATCCCACCAGCCTCTTCTACTTCTTCCACCTGGGTGTTATTTACTGACGCAGCAAATGGCAGATGTAATGGCACTATTCTCATTTCTCTATCGCAAAAAGAGAAAAAGTCAGACCTTATATAGCATTGGTGTGTGTCTTGGCCAAAACATTTTATGTCTCATGTCTCTTTGGTTTTATTTTATGCCTATTCAAATGTTTATGAGAAAAGAAGCTCGGTTCGCTCGTGGCCGGCATCTGTGGTATAGTGAATAGGTGCTTAGCTCTCACATGCAGTAGTCCTGAATTCAATTCCCTAGTGGGGAGAACATTTTTATTAAGTATCTTTGCTGGGATGTTGTATCCTCCTCAAGCCGGGTTGGCCCTGACAGGCATTTTCTTCCTAATTGATCTAAATTGTGTTGATGGGGGGCGTAAAATCACCCACATTTAAAGTTTTAAAAAAACTTCTATTCAAGTTCATGCATTGCTTGAAAACAAAGCCGGTTAATCTCACTAAATCTTACTGGGTTTTCTATTTTTTGCTGATTAAACTGGGGTTTTTTAATGAAAATGCAAGTTAGCATTGAAATGATCCTTAGAGTCTAAAAATGATACCAACCACTATTTGGTGTGGTTTGCTCCTCCTTTCTTTCAGGGACATAAAACATTTGGAAAAGTTAGTCTTTTATAATACACACCACTATTTGTGTTTTCTTTTCATTTAGGTTTTGCCTATTTAATGATGAATAAAGTAGAACACTGTAAAAAGTTGGGTAGATACCATTCCTTCCTTCGGCTTGTTCTGATTGTTTAGTATGTGCAAAAAATCTTGTTAGATCTATATATATCACCAATGAAGCTGGACTGGTTTTATTTGGGGGGCTAGGGGTGTTGTTTGTTTTTTTTTAATTGGGAGGGGGGGGGCATTGTTTAACTGTTTCAGCTGAAGTGTCTAGTCTGGTGTTTGTGTGTGTGTGTGTGTGTGTGTGTGTGTGAGAATCTGCTGATATACACTGCAATAGAAAATATTGTCATTTTTCTCGCTGTTTGAGATCAAGCTCTGTTGTTTTGTAGTTACTCTGTTTGTCATATCAGCTTTGTGATACATCAAGTTGTGCAGCATTACATTCAATTGGGCAAGTGGTTGGCGGATGCTCTTGTGTGGTTTGCTCCTCCTTTCCTATCAAACATCTTTTGTCCTGATGTCTCCTCCTTTTTTCTGTTTGTTACTCTCTTGTAACGCCTCTAATCTTTGGCACTTAAATAATCCTGTTGTGTTGCAAGTGCTGTAAAACTCTTACTATAACTAAACATTCAACTGGGGCGGAGGAGGGGGGAGCTCTGAAAATTGTGCAAAGGAGACTAGCAGTTGGAGAATTCACTGTTGTTTTGTACAGTTACTGACTTTGATGTGAGGCAATGTTTGCTGCCATTGTTTGATGATGATACACTCTGTATGTCCCAGACATATTCTGTGTGCAAAGTGGAGCTTTAGTAGACATTTCTATGAAAAACAACAAGTTGTCGCAAAGTTGTTGCTGTTGTCTGTGTTTCACACAGTGTCGAATTTGTTTATAATAGACACTGCATACATGAACAATTGTCTCCCTGTGTGTGTTTTTTGGTACCACCTCTCCAACATCCTGTTTTGTATGGAGTCAGCCTGTGCCCCTAGCTTGTCATTCTTCTTTTCAGTACATATTTGTCCATCGTCAGTGAAGATTGCAAAGCATACCTGTAACTATCTCTAAGATCAAACTGTACTTTGAAGAATCAAAAATGTTTTGTTTTTCTACTGCTTTGTTTTACCATTGTTAAAAAGAGGCTAAAGTTAATTTCAATAGTAAAATGGTTATGAACTTTTCCAGTGGTTTGGCTTAAGATTATGTTAATGGATCTTGAAGAGGTGTGGCCCCCCAGTGTTTGTGGTTAAGAGGTCAGGTTCTCATCTTGCTTGTAAAGGTTTCGAATTCAATTTCTGAGTGGAGAAGGTAATTGACCGAGTGTCTCCATCATCCAGCTGTGTATTCCATATGGCTCAGGTTGGCCTTGACAGGATTGATTGGTTAAATGACCCTACTTTGTAATGTCTAAATTGTGTCATCTAATTGTACAAGCTTTTACAATTTAGAGTTTTGAAGAAAAAGTGCAGATAAGGAATCCCGTGGACTTAAACTAACAGGTTTCACTTTAATTGTTATTTCATTTTTGTCGGCATATTTTGTACCGTACCGAAACTGCATGTCCATGCTCACAGGTTTTCCATTGCTTTCAGTTCATGTGGATAATTTACAAGAGATTTAGTTCTACACGCCTCTTTTTATCAACTGGTTTAGCCTACACGTACAATAAATTAAGATTTGCCCAAAATATAGACAAAGAAGCTGAAATATAGAACAGTAACTGAAAAGTGTCGGTTTTAGTGGATTCCCAATTTACCTTTCCTCATTTTGGTGGTGAACAAAGTTTTTAAGCAGAAAACATAAATTGGTATAATGAATAGATTTTTATTCGAGGTTTGACCAATTCTGTATAAAGTATGTAAAATGCTTAGATGCTACAGGGGTGTTGTTGTCGTACACACAGATGTGCTGCTGTTGGACGCGCACCTGTGTTGTATTTTTGCAGTCAATCACAGGTGTTCTGTATTGGGCGAGCGAGTGGCCCTTCAGTTGATCTTGTCATTGTTATCATTCCTCCATTTTACATCATTATGCTTTTTTCTGCACTTCACAGAAATGTTGTCTGGACTAAGTTTGGAGTCATTATTCATCAAGTGTGTACAATTTTTTTTCCTTCCTGCCTTCCCCTCTCATGGGTGCTCTGGTACGGTTTGCTCCTTCTTTCCTATCAAACATCTATCGTCCTCATTGCTCTTGCACTTCTAGTCTTAGGCACTTGTATGACTTATTGTGTTGCAAGTGCCGTAAAACTCTTCCGTTCCCTTTCCCCTCCCTGCCCCTCAGAGAAGCAACAATAAGCACAACAACAACATATCTCGTGTTTTTTTTCCATACTGTCACTCACATTGTGCCATACCAACAGAAAGTGACCAAAAGAGTTGTAAGAGAAATCCAGAAGAGGATGCCCATCACTGCGTGTGGTCGATTGGCGGCTGCTCTCGTTTGGCTTGCATCTTCTCGTTCTTGTCAGTGTTTACTTTTGTCCCAAAAATCTGTTGTTACCGGCGTCTGTGATGTAGTGGTTAGGCACTTAGCTGTCGCTTGCAGGAGACCCAAGTTTGAGTCCCAGGTGGGGAGAATTATAAGCGAGTAACTCGGGTCTATCAGCTGGGATGTTGTATCCCTCAGAGCCCAGGTTAGCCCTGACAGGCAGAGTCAGAAGCCCACCTCCTAAATAATCTAAATTGTGTCGATAGAGGTGTAAAAGCACTACTTTTTAAACGTTTGTTCCTTGCAGTGATGAGCTCCAATGATTTGCTCCACTAGGTACCGGTACACAATTTATAATTTGAGTTTTTGGTACAGTTGAAAATTTCAAATAAATACGATGATATAGTATAAGAAACTGAATAGCAGTTCAAGTTTGGAATGTTTGTTTGCTGTCTGAGGCAAAATACTGAGATATTTGCAATCATAGATTTGACTAATAGCTCCAAAACAAC